AAATTAGGCGAGAACGGACGTCAAACGAAGAAGTTATGAATTTATAACGAAAATTTCTGTCCCGGCCTATTAAAAATAAATAATAAAAATAAAGTCAAAATTAGCCGACAGAGTCTAAACGAAAGTTGTAGAGCATAGTCTCACCTTCGCGTGGATATAAAGAATGTCGAAAACGGAGCTCGTATGAAGAAGACATGAATTTTCGAAGTTTATTAAATAATTAATAATTAAATTTAATTATTAAAATCGGCCTTATCCGAAGGGGAGTCACCGATCTGATCCAAAGTACGCCCAGCGTACTAGCGTACGCCCCGCGTACAACGAAGCATGACACGCCTCGCACCCGCGTAAGGTAGTACGCCCTGCGTACTCCAAGGCTCCAGCCTCCTATAAATAGGATGCGAGGCTGTCGAGTTCTATTGCTATTTTTCTCTCTTCTCTCTCCCGTTTTGCATCGTTTTGCGTGCCAGAAGTACCCCAAAGCCCCGGTAATATTCCCAAGTCCCGAAGCAAGTTCCGAGATCCCGAAGATCCCGAGAAGTGCGGTTCCCGAGCCGAAGCTCTGTCCGCGAGAAGTTCAATTTTTGTAGAGATCTTCCAGATCTGCTGAGGATTACTACTTCTACAAGCCGTAGTGCTGTCCGATCATCTTCTGATCAAGTGAGTGTGTAGTTAGTTTCTTCTAACGCATAATTATGAAGTATTTTATACAAAATACATGTTATGTGTATAATTTTGTTGTTATGTGCGTGAATGTATATTCACTCTCTTCAATCTCATAGATCTGATTTGTTTTCTATGAAATACGTGTTATGTGGGTATGCCTCATCTGTTATGTGAAATATGTATTGAATGAAAATGCTATACAGGTTTTAAACTATGTATAAAAATATATATTTTTATCTACTAATATGTTGGGTAGAACATGGGTAGATAGTTGGTGTGTAATAAACAGATGAGAGGCCTCGATGATGTTGTTGTTGACCTAGTTATTCAGCGGAGTATGGATAACGACCACAGACTCCTTCTAGACAGTCTCGTGGAACGCTAGCAGGTTCATAACCTGTAGGTGTTGTGAACGATGTGTTCACCGGTGTACTCTATCCCCCTCATGGTTGCCTTTAGGATATCTATTGTTGAGGAAACCCCTTAGCAGTAATGTCCGTCCCGATGAAAATCCTAGATTAAGTCCCTTGAGATAGATGTTGTTTTAGGGACGTAAAGTGAGAATAATGGGAATGGGTAATCGGGATAGTGATTGGTTGGTGAAATTAAATATAATTTATTTATTGTGGGTTGAAAACCCTATATGCTCACTAGGCTCCCAAGCCTGGCCCACTCAGTTTTATTTGTATTACAGGAAGTGGCGCAAGGGTGTAAGATGGATGAATCATCGAGTGGTTTTGTTTACAAGTCTGTATATGTATATATTTGTTGAATGACTTGTAATGTTATCGTTTACGCTTTATGGTCTGTATTGGAACATGACATCCCAAGTTTTGATTATATAATGAAAATGCATCTCTTGATGAAATGCTTTGATAAATATTATTTTATCATGTTTTGTTTTAGGAACAAATTCCGCAACACTTTTAAATCAAAAGGATTTACTTTGAAATTATTTTAAGAAGCATAAATGAAATCGGTCTTTTCTGGCCGTGATTTTAGGGATGTCACAGTTGATATCAGAGCATTAGTTTAAGCGAACTAGGAATTTGTAGGATTTCTAGACTTAAACTTAGAATGCTAAGTAGAATTTTGAGATGTGTGTCTGTTGGATTTTAAACACGAGCACTAGTTTATTTTTAGGAAAGTTGCCTAAAATGCTTTTATGTGCTAAATGTTATATGTTGTCATATATGATATTATTTGTTCGGATCTACGGTTTGTTGCCAACCGGATCTGAAGGTTTATGTGTTTAGGATTTTAAGCGTATGTATACGATATTAGAACTAGCATGTAATCGTTTCGGAGTGATAAGGATGATTCGAAATCTATCATGAATGAAGATCTAAATTTCACCTTATTCGGTGTGTAGATCAAAAATGGTGAGAACAAGGAGTGGCGTTGGAAACGCGGATGAAAACAGGAATCAACCACCAGTGATTGAGCAAATACGTGTTGTAGCAGTAGCACCAGAACCAATAACAATGGCTGGGGTGCAAGCCATGATTCGGGCTATGTTAGCCGAACAAAGGGATGAGATGCGATAGATGTTGCATAATAATAGGGATGAACCTATCATACCTATTGAGGAACCTGAATTGATTCCCGAGCAATCGGAGGAAGGGAACAATAGTCGCATTATGAGTCAAGTTGGGACTCAAGGAGAACGAAGGAACGATCCGGAAAGGAGAAACAACAAGGATTGGCGAATGTAAAAGAACTTCTTGGGTGCCAAGCCGCCAAGTCTTTCTGGGAGCCCAAATCATGTTGAGATAATGGATTGGATCTCCGAAATGGAGATGGTATTTGAAAGTTGCGACTGTAGCAACAAACAGAAGACTATCTTTGCAGTTAGACAACTGAAGACTGGAGTATGTATATGTTTTGCATAGCCGAGTATTTGGGCAGAGTAACTACTAGGTACTATGCTTATCCAAAGGACGGATATAATAACGACTAGAGTATCAGCGTTTCATGGCAACTTGCAAGCGTAACAGCTAGGTATGATTTTATCTATCATTGTGATTCGGTATAAGAACTAGGGTTAATACCGGGCATAATATTATCCTAACATTACGAGCATTATTATCTAACCATAGTTCGTAATAACTATAAAAAGTTGCATTTTAACCATGAAACCGTTGATGTAGGGTAGAAAAACCGAGACGTCTAGCGCCCGAGAGGTGTTCAGGAGCCATTTAAACCAACATTGAGAGAGAGTGAGGTGTGTTTGAGGTGTGAGAAAAGATCAATCCGAAGGGGGATTTTTCAGATGCATGCCACACATTGCGTGTCGTGCAGTGCGTGTGAACCACCCTAATGCTGACACTTGTCCTCTTCTCATGGTGCCACATCATCCGTATCCTGGAGGATAGGAGTGTAAAAATGTGTGTCGCGCATTTCATGCGGGTGCTCGCGAGGATGCTTACTAATCTTCGAAAATTCATAACTCTCATGTACGAACTCCATTTTCTACAACTTTTATATATCCTTGTAGGTCTTGTTGTTCTCTACGACTTTCCTTTTGATCATTTTGGCTAGTTTTGACTTCCTTTTTTTGACTAGTTTTTATTACCATTATGATTTTATAAATTTAATAACTTTTCTATATGGTTTCCATTTTGGGCGTTCTTTTTTTCACAACTCCTATTTTGAGAAGTACTATGATTACCTAGTTGAAGACTTTTTCCAAAAGTCAACTAATCTCTTTGTAGTTTTTGACGTTGTAATATTTCACGCACGATAGATTTTATTTACTATAAAAGTTATATCTCACACGTAGCTATTCAGATTGTTGCGAAATTCAGATTTTTGGGATCGCGGTAGCTTATAGAATCTAAATATGTTAACTTGCTCTTAAAGTGACGCGCCTTTACGCACATTCATTTTTGAATCTAAGGTTTGACGTCATTAAAGTGTTAGTCGAATATATTGACATATATTAGGTGGTTACAAGGTCGTCCTTATTATTTCTTGTGTTTTATTGTTAGATACAAACGACAGTTGATGACGTATTTTCTGGGTTGTCACATGTGGGCCCGGTGTGTATGCATTGTATTTATATTGTGGTGTGTGGTATCTTGGAGGAGGCGAATGCGTGACTGTACAAATTCATCAGCAACAATAGAGGTTCTGCGTTTATTACTCTGATTTTAAATAAATGTATTATGAAACAAATGATTTTCTTAACTTGGATTCTATAAATGTGAAGTGTTACCTTAATTAAAAATGAAAATTTTTGTTGTGAAAATGGGACGTTACACATTCATATTGGCTTCAAAGATTTTTGTTTCTTAAGTTCTTGGTGCGAAACAAAACACAAGGATTTCGTATTCTAGAGTTCTTCAAAGATTTGAAACACACAACGGATGTGTGCATGTGGGTTTTGAAACAAACACACAAAGATTTCATGTTCTTAACTTCTGTTGGGTTTTGAAATTGAGTTCATCTTCATTGAGATCTCGAATCCTGAAACTTGTTCAAGAAATCCAACACCAACATATCCAGAAACTAAAGTTGAAGGGTTTGTGTATGTGAATATGTGTGTTTGAACCCAGACTTGAACATGATGTTCTTGAAACTCGATTTCAAAAGAGCACAATTTTAAATCGTTCAGAAATCTTTTGTGTGTATTCAAGAAACCTAGATGTGTTTTTGATGAACATAATGAGGATGACACCAAAAACTCCTACGTCAAAACCCATATATTTATTCTCAAAGAATAAAACTAAGAATGGTTAAAAATCGAACAAAAACACTAATACATTATGACATTCTTAAATATATAAGTCTTGATAGAATGCATTTGATCTTCTTTAATTGTCCATAGAATCGACATGGTTTCAACCATTCTTAATTACGAGAATGTGATGCATTGTCGTAAGAATATAGATCTGATTTGTGATGTATGCCTCCAGAAAATGTATATTTTGGCAAGACCACAATTTCAAATGTAGATATGATTTTTGCGAACCTCGTGTCTCATGGCTTAAGGCTAGAAAAACCTTAAAAACTCACAAAATGTTCTTTCTCCCACTAATGGGAGACAAGGAAACTTGGCAACTAGCCAACATGCTAGTTTCTATATATTTTCCAACACAAAAACATACTACTTACCAGATTAGTAATCCATGAAACTATTGTTCTTGAATGAGGAAAAACAATGAATTTAAATGACACAATGTAGAACTCTGACAAATTTTGTATTGGCTACTTAAAAGTGTTGGTCAACACAGAAAATTACATCAAATAGGTAAAGAATCAATGAAATATGTATGATCCGGTGTATTAGTACTGGTATAATGGAATTGACACCTGAAATGATCTTGGAAGTGTTAGCTTGTTGAAAGCAAACCAAGTAATGTTGATGCATGGTTGTAGCACCATGGATTATACTCGGTCCCTGTGGTACTTGTGTCCCCCATCATTATCTCTTGTTGCTGTTCTTCTTCTTCTTCTGTAGGATCAGGAAGCATGTTTAGATCAATAAAACCTCGGATTTCCTGAATTGGTTTCTCCAATTTCTCGACCAAGTTTGGGTTTTGTTGATTCAGTTTAGCCTCAGCAATCAAGTGTGATCTCTTGTGACCCCCCAAAGCTTGTCCTGATGGGAAAATTTTAAAGCAAATTGAACACTCATGAGCTCCTAGCAACGTGTTCTTCAAAGAACCACCAAGATTGAAACTTGATGTTGAATGATGATTATCAGATGTTTTTTCACAACACCCATTAATCATATCTTCATGATCTAACACGGGTTTGCTTTCAATCTTGTTTTTGTGGTCATTATTCGAATCAAAACATCCCTTTAACTTGTTGTGACTTGCTCTATGCCCACCAAGTGCTTGATAAGAGTGAAAACTCTTGTTACAAGTAGTACACTCAAACTTTCTCTTGTTTTGATCGTCAAATTCCTCTTGATTGATTGTTGTTTTCCCGAAATCGTTAAAACACATCTCAGATCTTCCATGGATTTCAAAATCAACTTCTGATTCTGTTAACTTCTTCATCTTACAACCATTTCCAGTTATCTTCTTGCCCCATTTTCCCACATCTCTGGAAAGCATGATCAAACACATAGCAATCTCTACCTCTTGTTCTTGATCCATATAAGAAACAACACTTGTTGAAGCATGGTTAGCATTCATGGAAACCGAAGATGAAGCTGTAGCGGTAGCGGTGGTGGTGGTGGTGGTTGTGGTGGTGGTGGTAACAGTAGGAGTGGTAGCACAAGCAACTATCGACTTTTTGGTTGTTCCATTTCTTGATCTTGATTTCTTCATTTGACGGAGTTTTGTACCCAAATTGTCAATACCAGATTGACTAATCTTAGAATCTTGATTCAAAATTGCGGTTTTGGTGTTTAAGACTTTGTCGGAGTGACATTTCATGTGTCCAAACAAGGCCTTCCAAGATTGAAAACCTTTTCCACATTCTTTACAAAGCTTATCAAGAACAACCAAACAGTTGTCGTGGGGTTCACTTGAATCTTTTGCTTTCAGAGTCTTTTTGGGATCTTTTCTCAGCTCATAACCCAAATCATTCGAGTTTGAAGAGCCATTGAGGACTGATGTGTTGTTGTTATCCATCATGTTTCTGTCATTGTTGTTGACAGATGAGAACTTCATCTTGTGATGATGATCGGTGGAGTTGATCACGTGAGACCTCATGTGACCTCCCAAGGATCTACCACAGGGGAAGCTTTTGTTGCACAGCTTACACATGTGTTTCATAAGTTGTCGATCACTTTGTTGCACTGAATTTTGATTGGACTTCAACATTTTCAACGAACAAAAGGTCAAAATTCAGATCAGATTGTAAGCTAAAGTGGTCCAAGGACAGAGGATGATGATGAATTCTCAAAGAAACAGAGAATTTAAGCTTGAAAAATGAGAATTAAAGAACACACAGATCAAGACACAAGAACAAAAGCTTAAATCTAGGATTGCATTTTATTTTCAGCAAGAACATGCCTTAAAAGTTGAATATTGAGAATTGTGAAACACCCAGATCAAGAAAGACGATCAAAAGCTCAAATCGTTAGTTGGTATCCGATCTTTCTGCCGACTGAAACGAATAACAAAGAACCCACTCAGATTCGATTTGTTCTTAGCAAGAACACGACTTGAAAAAATTTCAACCGAAAATTGAGACACGCGAAGATCAAGAAACACGATTAGAAGCCCAAATCTTTGGTGGGTTTTCAATCTTCTTGCAGAATGAAATGAAGAATAAAGAAGAACCCATCTCAAATTGCATTTTGTAGCTCAGCAAAAACAAGATCCAATTGCGTTAAAATGAGAACACAAGAACTAAATTGAAGCTACACTCGAGTAGTAGTCAAGAATCGAAGCAAAAAAGATCAGAAATCTGAAAAAGAGATGATGGGTCGGTTACCTTTCTTGCTAATGATGACGATGAACAAGCACACCCTCTCTCTCTTTCTCTCTGTCTGAACTTTTATCAGTTTCTCTCTCTAGAGATATATATGTAAGCAGAGAGACAGAAGAGAGAGATGAATAGGCTATAGTTGGAGGGAGAAGGAGAAATCCATGCATGGAAATAAGGATAAAAAGAGGCAAAAGCAACGTGTACTCAGCTAAGTATCCTACGCCAAACGCCAATCCGACGGCTTAAATTGCTCCACATTGGGCATCTCCAAACCGGTGGCCTCATGATTGTTGCCCTACAATTCCTAATTTTGCCATGATCTCTGTAATTTATCTACCCACAGAAATATAAACATTAATAAACAATGGTGTGGGTCTCTTACACCTCATATCTTCCTTCAATGAATTAACCTAATACTCCCAATCAGGACATGACAAGTGTCACACTTATTCCTAAAGTATTTGGCCTTATTAATTAACAAGGGCAATCTCGTCATTTACTAATGCAAAATGAATAAGCAAATGAAACCCTTTTGCAATGACTGGTAAGTTGGACAAATGAGAAAAAGGGACCCACTAAACCAACAAGAAGTTTGTGAAGTAAAGAATCTACAAGCCTGCATATGGAAGCTAAAAGCTTTTTTGTGCTAAACAAGCATACTAGTAGTAGTGGTAGTAGGCTAGTGGCATTTTCGTCACTTCACATCAAAAGGAACCCAATATTTAAAATATTTTAAAAAAAACTATTTTTATATTAATTCTTGATAAAAAAGAGAAACTTTTAATACAAATTATTTGCAAATATCTAAATACTACATCACCTTTTCAAGTGTTCTTTTTTAAATTATAATTAAAGAAATAATATTTCTCAGTAACAAAAACTTACAAATTTGAAGAAATTAAATATTTTCATATTGCAGTGCGATAACAAAATATGAAAAAGTAATTATTCTTTTGGTGAAAAAATATATAATCATCACTCATTTTATTACCTTAAAATACACGAAAAGGTATATAAGAGATTAAAGAGCCGGCTTTACTCATGGCTCAAACCGGAAACGTTAATGTCCTATTATGAGATTTATCATTCATGGTTGATAGCTATCTTAATTTAGCGTTAATTGTATCGTTTAAGCCGGCATCTTAGCACAATGTTTAGCTGTAGCACAAGTGCAAGTGCTTACAAGATAACAACTAACTTTTATTTTATTAGTTTTGGTCCTTACTTTTAGATTCTTTTGGCATACAAGTCCAATTCATGACATGTGCATGCACATAATTTTGTGATTACTTAATCCAACGGTCAGGATTGACTTGTTGCAATAGGATGGACGGTTATAAAAAACTTTAAGTTACAAATAAAATGTACAAACTTTGTTGCATAAACTACAAAGTATATGTAGAAGAATATTTATGATTAGTTAAAAAAAGGATTATTGATGCCTAATGCTAAGCACAAACATACACACATGTAGTGGCATTAATTAAGCTTCACTTATGAGACAAGAGAGAGAGAGAGAGAGAGAGAGAGAGAGAGAGAGAGAGAGAGAGAGAGAGTAGACAAATGCATGACTAAAAGTGATGTTGATTAAGTTGACAACCCATTTAACCCTTCAAGGCAAGTTTTGGTCACTCTTTGTCTTCTATTCCATGCCATTTTGTATACATTTTTAGGCCAAAATAAGATGCCTTACTTTGGTCTTTATGCCCTTTGTAGTTTTAAAAATGTCACATACAATTTATTTTGTATCTGTTTATATATGTATTTATACAACATCATTTCACCTTTTTCGTTATACATAATATACCACAATAATTCACTTTAGAACCAAATGATGCAGAATCTTATCGAGAGCAAGTTTCACCACCAGTTGAACCATAATTGTGTAGTTCATGTCAACAAAATTGATAAAATAATTAAAATATTGTATAAATTGGTAAAATGTGAAACACCGTTGCATAAATAAACATTTAAGCGATGTTTTGGTTGTATATTTCCGCAAAATTAAATTATTTTGTTTCATAACTTGAAAAATATTATTGTACAAATATGAACATGAACCTTTATATAAACCTATTTAATTGTGGGAATATCTTTATTGAAAAGATGAACCAACTTCCAATTAGTCTTTAAACCACAAGTCTAAGCAAAATAGGAGGTGAGCTTTTAGTGCATGAAGGAGACTCATAACCATTTGAAGTGCTTGATTGCCCCAAAAGCAATCTTGTTGTATAAAGTAAAGCATGTGAGTGCTTAATTGGTCATCAACATTAACTGGTTATTAATTAATTCTTAATCCCAAAGAATTTTATTATTAGGTTATGACCACATCAAGCTTTAATCATACATCATACAACTAAACCCTTCTCCAAAATTAGCAACTATACAATTTTCTGTACTATTTTTCATACTACTATTTTGAATGTAAACTTATTGATTTGAAGAAGGGATACCTAAAATCTTTATGTTATCTTAATGAAATCAACATTGCTCGACAGAAAAAGATAACAAATTAACTTGTTATAAGTTACAAATTTTACTCTTTTGTTCCACAAGGATCTTGTATGTATTGTAGACCAATCATAATAAAGTGCATGTGTTCCTTTACAAAAGTGATAATGGTTTCATGTGTTTAATAAACAAGTTTCTCACCAGCCATGCTTAAAAAATACTCTTTAACAAAGAGTCAATCAAAGCCAAACCAAAATAAACTCCTTAAAAATTCAAATGGTGGGACCCACGTACTCTCTTGGATCAAGCAGCCATTAAGATTACTAAGATAAAAGACTTAATTTAATGTCACTAAACTAACATGAACAAACTCTTACGTTGAAAAATCTTGACATAGTATTTTTTATATGTATAAGAACTGTTGAATTGCATTCTTATAATTGTAATGGCATTTGATTCTTGTATTTTATATAGATAAAAAAAAAAAAAGTTGTATTTTAAAATATTAATGTGATCTATAACAAAAGATGATATCCCCCAAAGTCCCACCCACCATCATATGCATAGTGTTGTCCCTTGTTTATTCCTGTTTTGGTGGTTGCAGTTTGAGCTTAGTTCACCAAACAGGTTGCCATCTCCACGTGGGGGCACAAATAAATGTAGATTCATGTTTAAGTTTGTTAAATAATTTATTTTTCTTGAAAAAAAAATTATGTTATCTTATTACAATTAGCATCTTATAAAAAGGCTAAATTCAAAAATTAATATTTCATAACAAAGAAAAATACCAAAATCTTAATAAAAAAAATCAATCATTGTTTAAAAAAGTTCCACATTTTCCATGTGTTTTTACCTAAAGATGTGATACACTTCTGTGCCTTCCATTTCTTTTTTAGAGTAGTCCTAAAAATCACAGTTGTTATGTTGGAAAACTTAATAATATACTAAGAGGGGTATATGGTAAACTATTGTAACCAACATTTGCTTTGAATGGATCATTCCTATATGTCATATACCCTTAGGTTACGTTTGACAAACGGGACAATACATGACTCGACGACAGACAATATTGATTAGGACAAGACTGAACAAATTGTCTCTGCTATTATCAATAAGGAGGACATTAACGTCTTTTGCACACATAAGAGATCAAAGACAACTCCAGGCCCAAATTGTTTCACCTTTTTGGGAAATTGCAAATTTTGTCTGGTTACCATTAGTTTTATTAGTTTAGTCTAGTAAATGTCAAACACAGATAATACTGTTATGATTTGTCGGTAACCTGTGAAACAAAGACTATGTGTTGGCCCGCTTCAATGTCACCGGCACTAAAGAAGCTTGACTTGCAATAGTGTCCACATAATCGCTCATAAAGTAGCACCAAAAACACAAAAAAGCGTATAGGAATGACTTGCACATGTCTACTCAAAAAAATAAAAATAATAACACTTTTGTCTATTTCAAATGTAGATACATTTTTAACTTGTAATTCAAATATGTTTTGTTATGTACAATAAGACCTTCACTAAAAATGAACTCAAAATTAACATATGATATGATGCAAGGCCTTCATTAAAAATGGAATGGAGGTTTAATTTTACAGATCGACGCCTTCATCGAGGCCTTTAGAACCCATCATCACATTTGAATCTATCTTTTTGTCAAATTTCTTTTTCCTCCGGGCTTCAAATTCTTGAAATCCTTCCATCTAAGAAAATTTCAAATCTGATCATCTCATGTTTTAACCAAACTAATTTGACTTCAATGGATAAATTGCAGAAACTGAAAATCAGGAAAAAAAAAAAAAAAAAGGAGACATTGAAGTTTACCGATTGGAATTGATCCATAGAAATGGGATTATTATGCAGTGAAATATTTTGTAGAGTCTTGCATTCCTTCAATAAACTTGGAGGTATCTGTTGAGCAAATGGTGCGAAAA